CTCCAGACACCGGGTCATCAGGTCAAGGGCATCGTTGGGGTGGCCCGGAGTGGATATGTACAGCTGAGTGTCATCAGCGTACTGATGGAAATCCACCCCAAAGCCACGAATGATCTCCCCCAGCGGCTTCACATAAATATTGAACAGAAGCGGAGAGAGGACCGACCCCTGTGGAACCCCACAAGTTAGGGGCCTTGGGATCGACCTCTGTCCCCCTGCCAATACAGACTGCGTACGGTCAGTGAGGAAGGAGGAGAACCACCGCATCACAGTGCCTCCCATCATTATCATAGGAGTAAAGATAAAAAAAATCCAGTGAATAGAAATTACATCGCATAAGGTCCCAAGTTTACTCCTTAGCATCTCCATCTTCTGTCCATGCTGAATAATCTTACTTGATATATGACAGTAGTCTAAGTTGTTATGACTGTCCCTTGTATTTCAGCCCTCTTAAGACTCTTTGTGATATCTGCACTTATTATTTAGTTCCTAGGCAACCTGAGGCATCTTTATTACATCATACATACATACAGCATATGTCTGGGATCATCTGTCCTTAAACTACATGAATCAATGTGACATTTAGGACACTGATATCCATTTCCAAAGTCTTTCTATTAAGCAAATGCAGCTCCGTAGAATGCAGTGTAGCCATAGTCCTTGCTTGTATCCTTGCTTTTTTTTAATTTCCCACTCCAAATATTTATTGGCATAGTAAAAAAAATGAGGAAATGTGCAATTCTCATTGCTTGGTTTCAGGTTCAAATAAATTTTAGCCCAAAACAACCTGTTTAGTCGTATCTCAACCTGTCAACAAATGGTTGATAGACAGGAAATGCACCTATTGCTAATATCACTTAGATCTGAAAGACAGTACAATCAATAACAAAGCAAAACAAACAGGACCTTTGTTTTCTTTGCACCCAACTTACCATTACGCCAACGTCCTAGTTCAGCCTCCAACTTGGCAATTGTCTCCTTGAGGGTCTTGTTCCTCTCCTTCTCCTTCTCAAATTTCTTCTTCCATTGTTCTGCTGTCAATTCCAGATTCACTGATGCTGTATTCTTGATTGTCTTGGCCCTGAAATGGAAGTGAATATCTTTATGGAGAAGACTTTGCTTTGTTTAATGGACATTCTGCTTTGATTGATTGACCGATTGTGCCAACTTGTTTTCGACTCCTAGCAACCAGATAGATACATTTTGCTCATGATGATATATCCATAATTGGATCTTTCAGGTTTTCCAACAGTGCACTCATTGCCACCAGAATTGAGTCCATCCACCTTGCTGCTTCTCTTTCCTTCCAAGACATTCCATTACACCTTATTTATTATATTGATCAGCTTCCTAGTATTGACACAGATGACTGAAGCTCTAAAAATACAGGAAACTCTTACTATATTACTTTGCTCGTATCGTATATACTGACTAGCAAGAATAGGTTTTTAGGCTGGAGTTTACCTCAACCTTAGCAGAAGATGCTTATAATCAAACCTTGGCCCTTTCCATGCAAGGCTTGTGTTCCACAGCTGAAATCAGTCCTTCCCTAGGTGCCTCATCTCCAAAAATAGCAGCAGAATCATTGTACCTGGCTATTCCAATAGTAGCCTTTTCCAAACTAATATATTTTACTACAATTGTGATAATTCCAAAGCAGTGAGATGACATTTAGACTGCAAAATATCAAGAAAACACCATCTAATATCATACTTTTGAGCAAATGGGAAAATGTGAATCAAGAGAAAATGTTGCTTGAGCACAATGTTGTGATTTTGCTTACTGGTCCCTAAAGTAGGCCTTATTTTAACTTAAAAGAAGTAATGTACATGGCTGTAATATACAATATTCATATTATTAAAGCAAGTTCAATATAGAGCAGTGGTGGCGAACCTATGGCACGGGTGCCAGAGGTGGCACTCAGAGCCCTCTCTGTGGGCATGCGCGCCGTCGCCCCAGTCCTAGGCCTTCAGCTGGGTTTTATAAAACCTTTTCGCTTTAGACCTCCGCCACCATGTGCAAAAAAAAAAGGTTCAATCAATCAGTCAATTTCAACTTCTCACGGGGGGAAAAAATCTTGCAAAGTTGGAATTGATTGATTGAACTTTTTAGTCCCACCCAGTCTGCTGTTACCACCGCAGCCACACCCACCCAATGGGCCATGCCCACCCAATGGGCCACGCCCACCCAGCACCCGACGATGCATAAGTGGGTTTTGTGTTGCAGTTTGGGCACTCGATCTCTAAAAGGTTCGCCATCACTGGTATAGAGGTTAAAGTGCTGGCCGAGAAACCAGAAGACTGGGTTCTAATTCTGCCATAAGCCTAAAAGCCAGCTGAGTGACTTTGGGCCAGTGACTCACTCTCAGCCCAACTCATCTTGCAGGGTTGCTGTTATGAGGAAAATAGAGGAGAAAGAAGTATTAGGTATGTTCGCTGCCTTAATTACTTATAAATATTAAAGGCAGGATAAAAATCTAATAAATAAAAGTATGACAGAAGGATACAATTATTCTTATGTGTTTTTGTTTTCACTAACAGTTCTAAACACGTTGCATTTAGAACTCAGAGTTGTTCTTATACACAAGACCAAGGCTTTTTTTCTCATAGAATGCCCAGAACGGAGTTCCGGCACCTGTTTTGGATGGAACCTTGTAGGGTAGGCAAGGCGGGTTGTATGACGTGTGTGAGTTCCAGCACTTTTTTTTTTTTTTTTTTTTTAGAAAAAAAGCACTGCACAAGACTAAATAGAATGTAGATGAGTAAGCATCACTACTTGCCTACCCAATATCATACAATCTAAGGTCCTGTATGCAAACAGAGATTTTTTTTTATATCAATTTAATCAATGTGTTTTTTTCACAAAGGATGTTAGGGAATTATTGTTCAATAAACAATGCTGAGAATTTTATTAGGAATTCCTCTCTTTCCCTTTCCACCCACTCAAGCTATAAATCTCAGGATTGCTTGGGGGAAAGGAATGACTGATAAATCTGTTCATACCCATAGTATACTGTAGATATTTTATGTT